TGTCCTGGCAGGGCGCTGCCCAGCAACACTTAGGACAGCCAAGGTGGGGAGGGAGTTGGCACAGCGCATGAACCGCTGCTCTGGCGGGTGTCGGCTTTGGGGACCTGGGCTCATCACCCCACCCCCACGTCTGTGCTTCTGACCGCAGGAGGCCGTGGCACCGAGAAGGGAAACGACACGGGCAGCAGCGCTTTGGTCCAGGACAGGGCCCCAACTTCAAGTCCCTGCTTCCTTTTCCATCCATCTCGAAGGCACGCAAAGAGGACTGAAAGCAGGCGTCGAGACCTGACCCCACCCCTGGGGCCCCAGATGGTGGTAAACGGGGCTTCTCTCCTTTCTCCCCATCGCCCTGTCACCATTTTATTTTTTATTTTAAGGCAATATGGAACACGAGTCCGTCTCGGAGGCTGGGGCAGGGGAGGGAGCGGGCGGGTGGGCCCGGCCTGGGCTGGGCCATGAAGCAGCCAGGCCTGAGCCTCTGAGCAGATGGTCACCAGTGCCCGGGGCCGCCAGGCCACTTGCCATCTCTGCGCATCTTCTGAAAAGCTTCCCCCGTCTCCCTCCTCCCCTCAAGCTGCCTTTGCACGGAAGCCCTCTTTGTCCACTCAATCATTTTAGACTCTTACTAGAAATAAAGCCCAGGGCAGCAGACGCCTGAGAAAGGAAGCTCTGGGGTAAGAGGCAAATGGAGAGAGCAGGGCTGGGGCCTACTGTCAAAGTTCCCGCATCCAGGGGGCTGCAAGAGGGTGGGCAAAGCTGTGCCATGAAGTGGGTCCAGCAGGCTTGGGACCCTGGCAGAGCCTGGCCCTCTGGCTCAGCGCAGGCCCTGCCTTCCAGCTCGTCTCCAGCCCTTTGGCTCTTGCCCAGGCTCTTCCACAACATAAAACCGTTGACTGATATCAAAATGGTCACCTCACTTGGGCCTTCATCATTTTTCAATTTTCCGGGTGGCTGCCTCCAGCACGTGTGTTACAGAGGACAGCAGCGACACGGGGCATCAGAGCTGGGCCCGTGAGCCCTGAGGTTTGTCATCATCCAATTCCAGGTGCTCACAGCAGGTCCGCTTCAGTTGTTAACAGCCTTCCTCTGAAAGGCAGCTGACCCGGGGAGTGAGGCATGAGGGTTTGGGAATCGTAAGGCCCAGGGCAGAGTGCTGGTGCCCCCACAGGAATGCCATGGGCACCTCACTTCTTGGTCTCTATCTTGTCATCTCTAAAATGAGGAACCAACCTCCTGGGGTCCTATGTCACATGCAAAGTTGTAACCTCAATAAAAATAGTTGAGAGAGAGAGAACGGCCTCCTGCACCCAAAGGTGAAACCCAGGGCAGGACAGGACAGGGGAGGTTTATGAAACAGCACGGCTGAGCGAGGCAGGGCCCTGCACGAGGGCGTGCGGCAGAGCAGTGCAAGCCTGGCGGAAACCACACAGGCAGCTCTGCCCCTGCTCAGGGAGGTGCATGGTGAAGAGCCGGCTTCCCAGGCAGAGGCTCCATATTGGCCACACCCGCTCCCACTGGAGAGCTTGGGAGCCTGTGCTGTCCTCTGTTCCTCCCCACGGGAGGAGTGTGATAACAGCAGCTGTCTCACGGGACACAGGCAGGACCAACAGACCAAGCAGGCAGGACTGATTGACCGAGAACACCAAGCTCAGCCCCAGCCCCGAGCAGACAGGCCAGGAAATGTCTGACTTCTACTGCTGTATCCCCAGTGACAGAAAACTCACCTCCTTTTAGAAAGTTCCCTTGTAGCTTTTGCCTACTGGTTAGAGTCAGCTCAGCTGAGTGTCCGGTCTGGTGCCCCCACATCTGCCTCAGCAGCAACTCGCCAAGACGTGGCCCCTGACCCGGGAAAACACAAGCAACAAAATGGCTGCCGATCAGGGCGGAGAGATTGCGAGGCTATAGAATCGGAAACCTGGGTCTTGGTGGATCCATTAGTTTAGTAGAGAAAGGAGAGAATATCCTCAGAGGCCCAGAAGTGAGGGAGCCCGGTGCATCCACAAGGCGGGGATCTCCCCCGCCTGAGAGGAGTGTCCCAGGCAGCAGCTGGGCCGGGTAAGCTGGTGAGCTTCCGGCCTCCACTGTGGGTCCCAGAAGTGGTGAGGGTGGCCGGGGACGGGTGCCATGACTGTGTTCAGAGAGAACACTGAGCGCCTGGAAGAGGGGTCACGGGGGAGCAACAGTGGGGGGGTGAGGACGTGGCCCGGGAGGGGAGCAGGCAGAGTGGGTTGCAGGCCATCCGGGGAGGCGCAAAGCGAATAGCTGCTGCACAGCTGGCGCTGGGCCCTCCACCCTGCCCAGGCTCTTCAGGGGCTCCCCAGGCAGGCAAGTGGGCCGGAGCTGCTGCACGGGGCCAGCAGTTTCTCCATTTCAAGCCTCCCCTAACTCCGGCCTTACCTGATGGGGCCCCAGGTGGGAGCTGGACATTTTAACTGAAGGGATCACGGGCTGTGCCCACGAGCCCTGGGGCACCGCCAGCTCCGGTGCTGTTGGCTTGGCATTCTGGAACCCTCTGGAAAGGAAGACGGATGCAGGCCCAGTAGCTATCAAGTCTTCGGCCTCATTTCCCACACAGCAGACCAGATTCCTCTCCTCGTGGGCCAGAAATCCTCAGACCTGCTCTTGGCTCATTCCCCTGGGGCCTCTGCTACCCTCTTCCATCCTCAGATTCTTCTCCTGTCCATTGGGATCATCAGTGTCCCTCGCATTGTGAATGACCCCAGACTTTCCCTGAAGGCAAAGCACAGTGATTCCACCTCCTGGTACCCTGCCTGGACCCCCACAAGGTTTCCAGGGCGGTGGGTGCTCTAAGGGGGGAAAAGAATTGCTCCAAACCCCACCAGCTGACTCCCGCACGCCCAGCCTTCTCCTCCCACCCCGCGGGATCTACGGCTCCAGGGAATTGGAGCACAGCGAGCAAAGTGCGGCAGCCCAGACCTCAGCCCAGACCCGCTGCCCCTTCCACACAGCCAGGAAATGGACCGTGATGCACGTAATGTTACATTTTAATGGTCTGCAGCATCAAAGGCAGAATGAAGAATCACTCCTGCAGCAGCAGCCGCAGCAGCAGATTTAACCCCTTTTTCTCAGGTCTCATTTCACCTTCTAGTTAAACAAACTGGGGCCACAATGCATGAGGGGTGGGGGGTGGGGGGCAGCAAAAAATGTCCAGACAGTATGGTTTGAAAGTGAGTAACTGGTTCGCTCTAAAGCTGCTGAGATTTCCCTTTTTCACTCTATCTGATCAGATCCAGCACATTTTCTTTTCCTGGACTCCTTCAGAGTTTACCTGGAGCTGGAGATCACCGCCCCAGTGCCACCTGGGCAGGCACTAATCAGCCTTGTGAGACAGAAGTCTGCGGCGCCTGACCCCCAGGGGCACCTTAAAAGGAAGCTGGCCCCCGTAGCCCCTAGGGCCAGAAGGGAGCCCAGAGGCCAGGCGGCCCCAAGGTCCAGATTGGAGAGGACAGTCTCCCGCCGGTCTGGGCTGGGGACCAGAGCGGGAGAGATGTTCCCTCTGGGGTGATGACACCCATTGGGCCAGAGGACCCTTCTGCATCCTGTCCCTCACAACGGAGTGTGGACAGGGAACTCTGGGGTGAGAGTCGGTGGGGGGGGGATCCCTGATTTGCAGCGTTTGCACCACCAGTTGTCCCACACCCCCGCATGACGCCGCCAGAGCCGACCTGGGAAGGGGCTCAGGGTCCCTCGTCCGCAGCATCTTCACCTCACAGACACACTGTGGAGGCAGAGACACCCCCAAAGCACAGCTCACCGTCAGGGCCGTGGGAAGTGAAGATTGCTGAGTATTTATTGCCTTTGTTTTTAATATAATTCATTTAATTATGAGATCATTTAATTTTTGAGGACGGCTGTTTTTAATAATCAGCTCTCATAATTTCCTGAAAATCGAACCATTCCCCCTCATGAATTATCTTGAGCACACCGCTGACCCCACAGCTAAAAGTCGGTGACTCTGGGTCACTTTGTTATTCTGGACACGCCTGAGAAAGGCCCCGTGCACTGGCAGCTCGGCCCCAGGGGGCTCAGCTGCTGAAATGTCATTGGCCGGAACATCATCATAGGGTCAGTTTCAATTCAAGGCAGCCCAGTGTCCAAGTAAACTTGGGGATCTTGAGAAAGCGAGAGAATGGGTAGGCAATGACCAGTTCCTTCCCCAGGGCCAGGTGGCAGCCTCGTGGTTCTTCAGCCAGCAGACATGGCTGCCAGCGGGTCTCTCTGCTGCTCCGGAAGCGCTGTCTGAGCCAGGCTTCTGTCTCCATCACTTCCTCTGAAGCACGCCCCATATTATCCTCACCCCAGATTGTTCTGGCCTCACTTCTTAATGATCTGTCCCTCCCACTGAAAAACAGCCCGGGACACAGCCAGGGCTTTGCCTGTTGGTGGTGCTGGCAGCTCCCAATTTCCTGAATATTTGCCAAGGGAACAAGTAAGCCAAGTACCAACCCCGCGATGCTTCACCCAAGGGGTCACCATTCACACGAGCGCCCCAGATTGGGAACCAGCAAGAAAACTTTTGCACACCTGTGGCCTCAGCTGCGACCATTGCAAGGCCTCTGCAAGGAGACACCTGCCTCCACCTGGCACCGTGGGCCAAAAGGCATTTTCCACAAACATCTGCTTTGGCACCAGCACATTCCCTGACACTTAAGGACTCACTCTATCGCCCCTCCCAAAAAAAGGACATCCTTCTGGGGAAAATAAAACAAACGCAGAAAATGCCACTGTTTCTTGAGCCTTCAACTTTCCCCAGGGAGCCAGTGCCTGTGTGTGCACAACAGCCAGGACCAGAGGAGACATGTAAAACATGATTAATCATGTCAAACTACTGATCCGGGGTGGGGGGTGTGCCTTACTGTTGCCAAATGGGCTTAGCAGTCACGTCCATAATCAAACCCCATTTAAAAACAGAGAAGAGTAATGAACCCCTGCTAGGTGTCTGTGGAAAGTGCTAACGTTGGGGGAACTCACCAGTAAAAAGAGGAACGATTCTCACAGAAACAGACATAGAGAACTGAAAAAAAAAAAAACAAAAAACAAAGGACGATGAATAAATAAAAGTCATGGGAAACAGAAACTATGAGCAAACTGCTCCACCTGTTAGTAATCAAACTACTTTCACCTTCAAGCAGACAAATATTTTTTACGTAACACACTCGCCAGGATGTGTTGAGATCAGCGGTAGCTCTCACCTCTAGTGGAGTTTAAATATGTAAACTTCCCTGAAATGCAGTTTGGAAATATGCAGCCAAAACCTTTTAAAAAGGCACAGTCCATTTGTTGCAATGATTCTACTTCTAGTAATTTATCCTAAAAACAAATTGTTCATTTATCCCATAAATCTTGCCAGCCTGCTTGCTATCTGCTATTTGCTATGCTAAACACTAAATATTGTGGGTGAATAAAAAAGACACATATTCTGCCCCATAGAGCTTATAATTTACTGAGGAAATAGATAATGAATAAGTAAACAAACTAGTAAATAAATAAACATGTTATCATTGCAAAGAAGGAGGTTGTTTAATAACAGCATTACCTGTTAGGGGGAAAATGCTGTCCTAAAGCTAATCCCATACAGGCTTCGTGGACTCCACCCCCACCCCAGGCCAAAGCCAAAGACACTGGGAACTCCAAATCCCATCCCCACCCAAGGGAAGGTGGCTGGGACCTGAGGGTGGGGTTAAGCAGCCAGGTTGATATAAAGGCAGACCCGTGGGCTTTGGGTGGGGGGGTCCCCCATGTTGGCTCCCCGCCAGCTCGCAGCATCCGGCCAGCTCAGAGAGTGCCTTTGGGTTTCCAGGTCAGCGGATCGGGTAGGACGCATTAAAGACTTTATTTCCCTATTTTCTCCCTGAGTTGTACATTTTCCTTCTTTCCTTTTCCCTTGTAAATAAACCTTTTATGAACCTTTTGTGTGTGCCTGTAGTCGAGTATTCATAAGTCCCTTTTAAGCGCGCGGGTGAGGACCCACAGCCAGGCAACCCGTTCAATATTGGGGCTGTCCTATAACATACCAACTAAATTTCCTCTGAGACAGTGATCAAAATCTGAAAGCTGAAGAGCCAGCCATGAGAAAAGAGAGGGACCTGGGTTCCAGGTAAAGAAAATGGCACAGGTGAATGTCCTGAGTTGGCAAAGGTCTTCCAGGACTCACAGAGCCAGAGAGCACAGTGTTGCTGCCCAGAGCCTGGCCATCCAGACAGGCATGAAAAAGAACTGGGAAGGAGTCAGAGCTGAGAGCAAATTTGAAGGTTGGACTTTATGCTGCAAACAGTAGGGGATATTTGAATGTTTCTGGCCAGGGGAGTCACAGAATAACAGCTGTTCTTCAGGAAGCTCAAACTAAGCATTTTATAAGACAACAGAGGCAAAGACTGCAAGTCAGAAAGCTTCGCAGGAAGCCGCTGCCATCCAGGGCCAACAGTCGGCGAGGGACACATAGAACAGGCCTTTTGAGGTAGAAGCACATGAGTTGGCCACTGAGTGCTGGGTGACAGCCAATAGGAAGAGTGGAGATAACCCTACAGCTGCAGCCTGGATCCCTGGGAAATGGTGCATCAATGAATAACAATAGGATGCAGAATGAGAAGGTTTGGGGCAAGGAGGGTGGGGGCCCAATTTGCCCTCCTGAGCCACAGTCAGCATGTTCCTCTTAGGGACCATTCCCCTTCACTCTCCAAAAACACGGGCCTCCACTCCCCTCAGCCGACTCCCACAGGACAAAATGGAGCTCGTGAAATTCAGTCCAGTGGAAAGACCAAGAATAAAACGAGAAGCCAGTTTCCTTTCCTTTCAAATCCCTCCCTCTTCCTGTTCATGTTTTCAGTTAAAAACTCGATCATCAAGGTCAAATCTTTTCCTCAGGAAATTTCTCTGGTAAATTTTCCCACTGAGAACACTGCTTCCATCCCCTTCACCGGATCAGGAAAAGGGACTCTCGTAAGTTGATATCAGGATGGTCTTTCGTGGAGACCCTGTGGGTTTTCTCAAGCTTTTATCGGGACCCTCAGCTTGACAGCGTTTTCCGCAAAGGGTCACCTCACATTTGCTAGCAGTTCTTTGTCAGAATTAACTATTCCACTTGTCATTGAAGTCTTTTTTTGTTGTTTTTTTTTTTAAAGGAGGCCAGTGGGACTCTCCTCCAGGAGTAGAGGCGTGGGGAAGGATCCCCTGAGGCCCAGGGGGCTCTGCTGGGTCCAGTCCCCTCCCGGCGGTGGCAATGAAGTGCGGCTGCCAGGGCTAATTGCCCATCACTGCTTCTCCTCACATAAAACAGGGTGTTAACGCAGCACTGGTTTCTCTGGAAATCTTGTGTGGGCCCGAGGAGGTAATGGTAATATATGCAAGCCCACTGCCGAGAATAGAAATGAAGGAATGTGTCCAATGGCCGGGCCCACATTAAGCACGCTTCAGAAAACAAACACAGCTCACCGGAATGCGGATGCTGGCAGAGCAGGCGGCCTCCCGAAGTGTGCTCGCGGCCTGGCGGTGGACGCGAACACCACCATCGCCTTGAGCCGGCCACTTTGGTAATGAAAACTTTTCCTCACAGAGGAAAATTGTTCTGAATGAAGCAGTTCAGTAACTCAATTTTGTAACAGTTTTCTTAGGTCCTATTGAAACGGGAGGCATTAGGACTGCACAATAAATCAGTTTATGAAAATACAATTTCCTGTCAGCTGTTCTAAATAAGGTTCTTTTCAGACCATTGTAGAGTCAGGAGGAGAGATGATTCCCTCTTGCCTGTGGAAGCATTTTTGGTGGTTTGTTTTTTTTTTTCTCCCTGGGGATTTTAAATCTTGTGGATGGGTGTAGAGTAAGAAAATGAGATGTTTACAGCATATTGAGAAGCAGGTTTTTAATACTGTGAGAGTCTTCCTATCAGGCGACTGTGGGAAGATTTCATTAAACTCCAAATTTCACACCATGGCAGGTCTGCTTCCGAAATGCTAAGGATGCCCATTTAAAGAGAAGAAGCCTTCCCACTGCAGAAGCCAAGACAGCTATATTCTTTAATAGAATCCCTTCCCACAGAAAGAGACTTCCCCCATAGAGGCCTGGCCCACAGACCCCCGGAACCACATAAAAGGAACTGAAATGTGTTATTTTCTGGGGAGTACCCTGAAGCAGTGGAAACAGCCATCTTTTTTCTTTTTCTTTTTTGTTTTTAATTATGAAAAATTTCAAACATACAGGAACGTATAGAAAAATGTATACCAGACTCTGCCCCACCAAACCAAGATCAAACATTTGCCATTTTGCTTCTGATCTCTACCCCGCTCCCGCCACATCACCACAACTGACTTAAAACTAGCTAACACCCCACAACTAGCTAATGCCCCACCTACCCAACCCCCTCCCAACTGTCCACTGCCCTGAAATGGCGTGAGTCCTTCACGTTCTGATTTTTGTCTGTTTACTACAAATGTTTGCATCCATTAACCACAGAGAATTGTGTGTGGTTTTCAGTAGTAATCACTTGGTATGTATCCATTTTAACTTATTTTTTTCCCCTCAAAATTTTATTTTGGAAGCAGAGACATACCATGTTCTTGTCTAAAGAGATCCATTATCATAAATATGTCAGTTCTAATTTACAGATTTCATGCACTTACAATTTTAAAAATATCACCAAGTTTGTTTTATTTTTTTTTCTTTTCCCAGAGCTAGGCAATTTGATTAAAAAGTTTATACTTAAAAACAAAAAAAAAAAAAAAAAAAGGAAATCTAGTCAGAAGAACCCAGAAAAAGAAGAGCTATTTGGGAGCAGGGTTGCCGCACTCACACATACCATACAGCCTATAATTAGGAGTCTGGGATTGGCACATGAATAAACAGAGACCCATAGGGCCCAAAGAAAATCCAGAAATAGACCCAACTGTATCTGGAAAGTTATTGCATGAGAAAGGCAGCTTTACCGATCTGTGCAGAAAGATGATTTTTTTTTTAATAAGTGGCGCTGAGATAATTGGATAAACATATGGAAAAAGTCAAGCTCGGGGCACATACCACACACTGGGGTAAAATCCAAAACGAGCACACATTTCAGTATAAAAGCTGAAACCCTGTAGGTACTCAAGGAAAACATGAGTGAAGGTCTGCATGACCTGGACGTGGAAAGAATTTAACCAGAAGCAGGAAGGGAAGAGACTGTCGGATTTGAACACATTAAAATACAGCCCTTTTGCAGGGCAGAACCACTATAAATGTAGTAAAAACACAAGTAACACCAGGGCCGACCCTGGGGCCCTCCCTGGCCCTGCATCATTCCCGGGTCCATAGCAGCTGGATTCACTTTCTAAAGTGGAGGCCACAGAAGTGGCCCAGTTGAATGCCTGGGTCTGGCCTCCAGTTCCTGGTGCTGGAATCTGACCCCACCATGTAGTAGCCAAGTGACCCTGGGGAAATTATTTAACTTCTGTGGGAGTCAGTCTTCCCATCTGTAATAAAGGGGTAACACCAGTGCCACACCATGGGGAGGTGAGAAGGCTGAAGCTGATCTCAGACCTCGCGGGGGTGGGGGAGGGAGTAGGGGGTCACCCAGGTCTCACCCTCCAGCAGCTCGTGGCCTCTCTGGGTCATGGATTTCCAAGGGTGCTTCCCAGGCTGGAAGCCCTGCCCTTAGACCTGCACGGGTCATTTCAGGGGTTCTCTTTCCTGACAGTCCCAGAAAGGAAACTCTCTGAACCCCAAATGTGAATGCAGAGCCTGACAGGTGATGTGAGACCAGCTACGAGGACATGGCAGAGAAGACCTGGGAAATGATTCCATCTGGACCACGTGGTCACTGCGTGGAGCTGGGAGGTCCACCGCAGCGAGCTCACCTCTCCCCACCAGACTCTGCCTCTGACCTCAGCTGTCTCACCGGCACCTCCTGCATGTGAGTTGGACTCAGCGTCCAAGTAGCCCCATCTTCAGAATGGGAAGAAGAACAAGGATTCCTGCTTGGAAACAGGGATGGAGCAGGGGCAGGAAAGCTGCCTGAGAGCTGATGGGTGGGGGTGCTCATGGGGT